AAAATACGAAAAAAAAATATAAAAAAATCGTATAAAAAAATTTTTTATTTTCAAAAACAAAATTCTTTAAAAAAGTGAGAAACTTTAAAAGAAAAAAAAAATTGTTTGTGTGACTTTGTCTTCGATGTTGTCATCAAAGGGCTCAAATTATAAATTTTTGAATAAAAATAAAGAAAAAAAGTAAAAATGTAAGATGAACATATGTACATATATGAAAATATCCTTTAGGAAAATTTCCTATAACTTTTCTTTTTCTTGTTTAAGTTGAAAAAAAGAAAAATGTGATTGAATTTGTTCAAGAAATTGCTTTTCCTCTTTTTGAATTTTTTCTTTTTTACTCTTAGTATTTCTTGGAAAAGTACAAAGAAAATATATACATATAAATAGAGCAGAAAATTAGGTCAAATTTTTAGACTTTAAACGTGGTTCGGCAATTCGTTGAACCATTGTTTGTCTGTCTCTTTGTACATTTATTTTCAAAAAAATTTTGAAATTAGAGGCTTTGTTAATATTTACAAAATTTTTATGTTTAAATGTTTCTAGAGGGAGTTTGCGATAGAAGGTTTTAGGGATTTTATTCTTTCACCCATTTTACAGAAATTTGATCTGTTTAATTATAAGCGCAATTTATACTTGCAGTTTTGTATATTGTTGCAACAAAATATGATTTTTCAAGTAATATAAAGCTTGTTATTATTTTACTATTTCTTGCCTTCCATAATTTAATCTGCAATTTTAACAAATCAAAACGATTTTTAAAATTCGATTTAGTTTACAGCGATATAATAAATACTAAAATGTACTCCTAATGAACAATCAATAGAATAACTTGGAGTCATAAATGTAAAATAATTTATTTTTCACGTTTTTTTTTTAAAAAAACAAGAATTGTTTGACCACACACCATATAGATACTTGATTTTGCTTTAATCTTAATATACTTGAACATTTTTAAATTTTTCATAACTGTATTACTGTATATTATACCTACCATTAAATAAAATTACATACAACTTGAAACAGTTTTATACTTTATTGCTTTAAAATGGAATTTCAAGTCTTTTTGAAAAACATTGTAATGTAATTTGACTGGGAGCAAAAAAATTGTATTCATTTTGTTTGCTCCTTTTTTTTTGTAATTTTGTATACCTACCAGCCCCATATACACTAGGTTCATTATATATATAGTATAACAATATAATTGAAAGAATATTTTTTTTATGTAAAATAAATAAAGTATGACACATTTATAATCGCATATGCACTTAGGCATTTGCATAGCATCTATATAATAAAAGGATAACACATATGCACATTAATTTCGGTATAAAAGAGATTTTTAGTTGTATAGGAAACAAGGTACTATTTTTGTTTTTTTCATATGTCGTGTTAAATTATAAATAATGTTTGTATATTTTGTTTATGCTATTCATACTCGTATAATGTTGTGCTAATATGTTTACATACTCTTATGTGTAAATTTTGAATATGCAACTACAGTTCTGCAAGAAAATTTTTGAGCTACATAAATAGGAAATTTTTTTTATACACAAACTCATAATCCAACAGGGCATAACCTTTAATGTTTTTAAAGAATTAAAATGTATGCGATAGATAAGGATATATCGTTCCCACTCTAACGAATTCGCGCATATGCAAAATTAGTTTGTATGTTTTGACTTTTCTATTTTCATAGGAAAGAATTGCTAATTATGCTAACTGTTATAAATTTTGAATAGCGCCCAATTTTAAGTTTTTTGATCTTGGTTTGCAATAGCCATAACACAATCCGGTATTGATGTTGCAAAATCTGTAAAAGCTTAATTGTAAATTTTTATATGCTATTTTAACACCTGATTTATTTTCAGTACCCCACATGACCTTTTTCTCTCTCCAGATAATTTTAAACAGCACTTTTTATTTAAAAATAAATTTTTTTTTGTGAAAGGATAATTTTGATAGTTTTCAAAAGAGTTTTCAAGTGAAATTCTAAAACAAAATAAAAAAAACACATTTGAAAAGATTTCTGTTTCTTTATGGCTTTTATATTTTTTAAGTCGAAAGGTACATAACCTTAAAAACAAAATGTATAGTAAATATTTAATTTGGAAATAGAAAATATAACGAAATGTAATTTATTTTATAAAACAAAAACAGAAAAAAAAGAAAATCTAAATTATTTGAAGTAAATTATGTGCAAAATAATGTTTTAAGCTCGTTATTTTTAAATTTACAGGCACCATAAAAAAAATTTAATGTGTTCTATAGGTGTGCAATGTTCTTTAAAATTTAAAAAATATTCAATAATTTCAAAAATCTGAAACATTATAAACCAATTATACAAAGAAATTAACAAATATTGCAAAAAAATTTAATAAATTTCTTAGAACTTAACAGAACTTACACATTACATAAATTCATGTGGTTCATTACGAAATGAATCCTCTTAAAATAAAATTTCTTTGCCTCTGAAAATTTCGATTGAATAGCTTTTACCTTTGATTTTTCATTTGATAATAAATACATACTGCATTATAAAACATACAAAGACGAACACAGATGAAAGAAAATATCAATTTTTCCAATTATAAAATTGATATTAATAGAATAGACGCAACTGAACCTTATATTTTAATTAATTTTTGAAAAAATAATAAACGTGAATGATTTGGTGGGTTGCTTACAATACATAAAAATAATGTGTTAGACTGCAGTGGGTTTAAAAATATATTTTATCTAACATAAAGCAACCTAAAAATAAGAAATTTCTAATTTAATTTGTACTGATAACATTCACTAGAATGATAAATTTAATATGAAATAAAAGTAATATCTAAATTAATTCTATTATATCATTTAGATCGGACCCATCCTTTTTTCTTTGAAGGTCATTACTTTAATGTTTTTCTTATATGGGTTCTTTAAATAAAAATTTCAAATTTTAATTTTTTATATTTTTGCACTTTTAATTATGTAAAACCTCACTTAGGTGCTTTACAAAATATATACGAATATAGTCTATATGTTTATATAGTTTTTAATGTACATACGTACATTAAAAACTATATAAACATGTACATACGTACATTAAAAACTATATAAACATATCGAATTAAATCATTTTTTAACAGAAAGAATACATATTTATAACATAAGCCGAAGAAATATACTCGTATTAATTTCGCTTTTAGAATCGCAATAAATACTGGTTTAGAGTCTAGGTCTTTAACAAAATGGAAAACTATGCAGAAAATACTTATATGAAATAGATCAAATGTATCAACAATTTTAAACAAATTTTGTATTTAGTGAAAAATTAGTTATCAGTATGGGAACACACGTCTATTGTCTCGAACCACGAAATCTTCTGATTCTTATTCTTAGTACTTTGAATTCTATTTTAAATTGAAATTGCTATATTGTAATACTAATAAAATTGAGAATATAATCAGAATTACTGAAGAGAAGATTTCCTCATTTTTAAATGACTTTGGCAATTTGGTTTGCTCATCGATTATACGCCGTTTTACGAGTTTGTTTTCTAATAAAGAAAATCGCTTCTGTTATTTACATAAATACAAGAAATAAATTAATCACTCATATTTTGTTTGTCGCGTCGCTGACGTAATAAAAAATAATTCTATCACGTCAATATGCCTTTCTGGTAATCGTGGTTGTGCCAATCATAAAAAATGCTTTTATGATTTGCACCAATAGCAACAGGCGAAATGTCACAAAAAAGTTGAAGATTTTAAAGAAATTTTGTATGTATTTAAATATTAGAATAAAACGTACATAAATATATAGCTAATACTTATTTGAGTATCCCAAAAAACCTTTGGCTATATTAGCATTATCTGCATATAATTTTATTAGATTTCTCATATTTGTTATTCTTTTTGTATAAAATACAAAAAACCCCGATTATCAATATAAAAATTAATAGCGTAAAATATTTAGTATAAAATTAATTAAATAATTTTTGTAAACTATTTGATTTTTCCATTTCATTTATATGTATATTTAGCCTAAAAGACGTTGGGGTTATGGTCCATCTAGTACAAATATTAAGGTGATAAAAATTTACAATCACTTTGTATGAAGTGTTTTACAGAAAAAGTATATGCGAAGGTTTTGATATCTGACACCGGCTTTAATTATCATGTTCACTAGAATAATACATAGACGTGATAGTGACTCTTCATGCGAAACGACTATCAGAATGTGGGTGCATATTTTCTTACAAATTCTTTAAAATTAACTAAAAGAGATTTTATATTGAGTTTCATACTCACAGAACAAAAATGAAATATAAGAAATAAGAATAAAAGAAAAACATATTATTTATTTTAAATTTTAAAAACAAAAATTCGAAAACACTTTTCAACAAAGTAAAAAACGTCTTGTTTTGTAAGAACAAAAAAAAATTCAATGAAAAATTTTGTGAAACTGATTCCACAACAAAGAATATTGAATAAAAAATAAAAAAAAAAAATACTTTCTATGTCGAAAAAAAATTACGCTTTTAAGTTGATTAAAAAGTTGTTCAATCGCTTTGAAAGAGAATCAACCTATTTCCAATCTGCGAAAAGTAAACACTTTTATGTGTGCATCTTATGTCAAACTGAAAATTACTTTGTAAAATTTTTAAAGAGTAAATTACTAAAACAGTATTTTTGTGCTAGAAAAACAAAAAGGTGATTTGGGAAAAGCATTTACTTTTAGAATTTTGATTACGAAATATTTTCGAAAACTAAAAAAAAATCTAAGTTAATCAATTTTAACTTTCGAAATGGTAATGCGTAAGTAAATTTCCTAAAGCGTGAAAACAATTTATAAATATGAAAAATTAGATTTTCGGGAATTGAACTGTTATAAATATCATCAGATCAGAATTCAAATTTTATATCAAATAAGTATTTCCTCTTCTTAAGCTAGGACAAAGTCACTAATTTTATTATTATGAAGGTAAATTCAAATAATAAGTAGGTGTCATTGATCTTATGCTAGTAATTACAAAACCATTTTTGAATTTTTATTTTTAATAAATTTTTAACATACCTAAAACATAAATATCATTTTTTTTTTACAAGGTAAAATTTATAAAAGTTTATTCAAAATTCATCATCCCAGCCAGACATTTCTACCGGTGGATCACTACCATCATTTTCAAATTTCGTTGGAAAGTATTGTGTATCAATATAACTATTAATTGGACGCTTAATTGGAGATGACATCTGTCTGTTTCTTAACTTATTCCAATCGAATCCATCGTACCAACTAAACAAATAATTATTTTCAATTTAAAAATTTGTAATATTAAAGTCAGTGTTGCCACTTTAGACTAAATGGGTTAAACAAAGGCAATTTTCTACTATTAAATTTGGACTTTATATAAATCTTATGACCATTTTTTAACTTTGTATTAGTCAATCTTACAATATAGGACTATTTTTATTAAGATTTCCAAATTTGTTTTTCAAATTTGCTTCATAAAATTTTCTAAGAGTGGCAACTAAAAAATTTATAATTTATGTATATTGTATTTATACATACCTATGTTTTTTAATATCTAAAATTCCACGCCTTTGATAACCTAATCGTTCAGCTGGGGTTTGTTTACATAAACTTTTTATCAAATTTTGAGCATGTTTTGTGATTTTAGCTGACATTTTAACAGCATCGATTCCAGTTAATATTTGTTGATAAATTTTCATTTGATTTGTACCCCGGAATGGAGTTCTACCTGCTAACAATTCATATATTAATATACCTAATGCCCAATAATCAACAGCACGATCATGACCTCGATCTAATATTATTTCTGGTGCAACATATTCCGGTGTTCCTGCAAATGTATTTGTTTTGCTGCTAGTTACAAGGCGTTTCGCAAAACCAAAATCAACCTATAACAATTATAAATATTTAAAATATAAACTTTTGCAATTCTATAAAAAAATTCTCTACCAATTTACAATAACCGTCTGGGGTTACCATTAAATTTTCTGGTTTTAAATCTCTATAAATTATATTTCGCGTATGAAGAAAATCAAATGCTTCAACAACACAACCAGATATAAAACGGGCGGTTTTTTCATCAAAAAATTTTCTTTGGTACATGATTGTCCAGACATCCCCCCCTAAACAAGCCTCCATTAAGAAGTATACATATTTTGTGTCACGGAAAGTATTATACAATCTAAACAGTGCAATTGAATAATAAAAGAACAAAATTATATTCACTTATCTTACTCTATTATAAACGGTGAATTTCGGCATATTGACATCACTAGTTTTTCATTATATATATGATCTATTTGACCTTGTTTAATAACATCAATTTTTTTAATAACTTTCAGGGCAAAACTAAACTTTTCATTATATGTTACTAAATCAACAACACCAAATGCACCAGCTCCTAAACATGTGACTTTTTTTAAATCTTTCAGTTTAATAAAATCAAACTGACTAGATGGAATTTTGATATCCGGTTGAATGTCTCTATCTTTCGGTTTCTTTTTTAATTCTGCTATTGTTCCTAGGTAATTTATAAATGCCCTGCAGAAATTTATTGTTATTAAAAATGAAATTATTTTATTTAAGAATTTTTATATTTTACTCTCGATCTAGTATAAGACACTCAGTTCCTGGTGGATCAGCATATACGCTAGCTAAACGCTGATCACAATTTAAAAGTGCTTGTTCACCAAAATATTGTTCCCGTTTTCGTCTATCAACAATTCTTTCTTGTCCATTTTCATCAGTTTTCTTAATTGTAACAGATCCCCCACGTATTATGAAAAATAGATCACCCTTGTCACCTTGCCGTATTATACGAGTATCCGTTGGGAAGAATTTCTAATAAAAAAATTTTAAGATCAAAGCACTCAAAATAAATGAAAAGTTCATTTCTTACTCTTTTTAGTAGCTCACAAACTCTTAATAGAACTTCATCCGAGAGTTCCTCTAAAAAAGGAGCTGATTTTAAGAATTTTAAATTTTCTTTTCGTTCTTCGCTTCCTGATATCAACATAATTGTACGAAATTTAGTTCGATCAATTTTCCAAACTTTCGCTTTGGTTTTAGCTAAAAATTTTTTAAAACAATTAAAAGTTAATACCGTTTTTTATTGATTAAATAATTTCCAGTTACCTCTAATTGAAGCAAAACGTTTTGCATTATACAGAATTGCTAATTCACCAAAGACAATACCAGGACCTAACGTTGTCAAGATTTTATTATTTTTAATAACTTCAAATTCACCCATTTCTGAAACATAAATTTCTGATCCTTCTTCATTTTCTTTAATTATGAATTCTCCTTTGTCATAAAATTCAGGTTCCATAGCATCGATAACACGTTTTTTACGTTCTTTATCCATGTAATTGTTTAAAAAATCATTTTTTTCAATAGCTTTTGTAATAAGGGTACGTATTCTAGAGAAAAAGTAAAAAAAAGAAAATGTACCGAACATAAATGTTAATGCTTACGTTTTATAAAAGTACAAAAATTTGAAATAAGTATAGTTGGCCCCTCTATATGTAAGGTATTGAAAATGATATTACTATTACAACTTTAATATATACATAACGGGATTCAATTGGGAAATTTTTTAATACACAATAACTAACTTCAAACCTTATACTTCAAAGCTAAATTGAGTGTACCTACTTTTTATTAAAAGACATCTTTATCACTTAGATTAGCCATGATTATTAAATATTTATAATAATTAGAAATGTGGTGAGAAGTAGATAATGTTTTTTATATAGAAAAGCATTTCATTCGATTTTAAGAGTTTCTACACATAGTTATTATGTTCTACTCTAAATACATAAAAGTAATGCGAACACACACGTTTTTACTGCTTTTAAGAATCCTTAAAGAATTCTATTGAAAATTTTTTTACTTTAAAATTATTATTTGAAAGGGATAGTGTCAAATTATACAGAGCAATTTAATTTTGTTTTAAATGCATTTAGAACATTTTTTTAAAACCAAAGATATTAAATTCAATAAGAATTAGTGGAAAGTTTTACTTATATTCTTAGTTTTAATTCATCATCTTAGCTCTGTTTTAAATGGTATGCATTTCATACAGTTTGCATTATTAATTTTTATATAACCTATTTATGATCCAATTTTTTTATATTTATATTTATGAAAGCTATTATACACTTACTCTTTATCTTTTTCAAATATTGGTATATCGATTGCTTCTTTATTATCACTTCTTCTATGAAATATTAATCCTTTTCTTAAATTCTCATCAGATTCCTCTGGATTGAGAATACTAGTTTTACCTCTTGAATCTTGTGGCGTATTGCTACTTCGACCTGTGTCGGTTCTATTACTGTTACTACTAATGGATCTATTATTACCATTACCACTACTGCTATCATCTGATGATTGTTTTATTTTTGTAATGTCCAATTGTTGATGCTGTTGATGATGTTTATGTTGGTTTTCAGGTTCCTAAAATAATAAAGGAAATAAATATAAAAGTAAACAATTAAGTATTAAAATAACAAATCATTTACAGTTTTTAAACGTAAATTCGTGAATACAATTTTCGCTCGTTTCTGAAATACGTAGAAAGTTATTTCCATTGACCATAAAATCAGAAAATTAAAATGAAAGTTAAATGATCCATTTTATATGAAAGTCAATTTTAAGGTTACAATCGTTAAATTTTTCAACTTTCTTCCAGCTAAATGTCAATGAATTTTGAATGTATCAATCAAAATGATATTTTTTCACTTTATAGTATATAAAATATTTGGGAAATTTTAGCCAAGAAAAACAAAAACTGTTTTGGCATATCATGTTAAATGTCATGCCGTTTAATATATTGAAAAATCATTTAAAGACACGAAATTTATTTCAAGGTTCTTGAAATAGTCGCAAATGTCTTCAAAATTAAAAAAATCTGATGTGGTAAGCACATAACCGATCGCATTGTGTATTGTCTAGTTAAATGAAAGTGTTACAGAATATTATAAAAATGTCTGTTAAATACTTCTTTCCAATTTTTAGGACATTAGTAAGCTTATAGTTAACATACCTAGAAAAATGTAAATTTGGCTCTTAGTAGAATTTCGCTTTGTGCTACCCGAATTCCCTGAAATGCTCACCAGCTAGTTTCGGTAACCAGAACTCAAATATCAAATTTCAAGAAATTTCCAAAAAATTTATATTTTCATTGTTTTAATACGAGGAATTCATACATTAAATTTCACTGAAATCGGTTGATTATTTATCTTTATATACACAAAAATGTATATTTGGCCCGTAGTAAACGTCTAGTTGCCGATGACTGATTTCTTCCAAAACATAGAAATTTTCGCGGACGGTCGAGCTGAGCTTATATATAAAATTTCAAGTAAATCGGTTGAATATTTTCTTCAAAATGTTCAAAAATGTAAAACAGGCCCGCTAAAAAGTGCAGTTCCCGAGGCCTGATATATACCAAAAGTTGATCAATCCGTGCCATGGTGGAAATAAACTTACATATAAAATTTCATCAAAATCGGTTCAGCCGAACTTGAGATACACGCGTGCACACACAGACCGACAGACCGACAGGTTGCTAAAAATAGTTTATTTACACTTCCCTACTATGGAGAAGTACGTTCCCACCGAAAACTCCATATGCAAAATTTGTTGCCATCACATAACCTACCTATTGTTTATACAGTACGGTCGGTAAAACATTATTCAGTGCATTGAATAGATTGCAATTATCTATTTTCCCTTTGTGTGTTAACAGTAAAAAACAGTATTGGAAGGTTTCTTATTCCTAGCAATTTGCCAACAAAATGGAGTGCCAGATTAATGTAACAAGTTATTAGATCAGATAATATCTTCAATTTGTTTTCCAAAATAAAAATTTTAATTTGCATGTTGTAATCTACTTTCATATTATAAGCTTAATAAAACTTACATCAACTTGAACACCAGAATCTCTTCCGTGGCTGCCATTTTTCCCATTATTTTTACGCTGCAGAGTAAAAAAATGTCATTTAATTTCAGTTTTTTTATGTTATTTAAAGAAATATTTATAAATTAAGAATTTCAAATTAGTTTAATATATAAAATAATAAAGGCATTTGGGACGTTAGTAATAAAAAGGGGTATAAAACCTAAATACTACAAGTATATTTGTATGTATATTTGCACGTGAATTAAATGTACTGTTTTGTGTTAGTGTATGATTTTGTTCTTATAATAGTATTTCTTTTTTACAATTTAATTAATTGTAATTCACCTGAACAACTTCTCGATTTTGTTTACTGTTACTCTCATAACAGCTGTTATTACAATCATAATTTGTTTGATAAATATTGTTATCATTACTGTTATAATTATAGTAATGACTATTGTCTTCTTCATAATAATTGCTTACAACATCAATTCTGTTGATATCTTCTTCAGAATATCCATAATTTGGTTTACACTTATTAGCTGAGCCATGAAGATTGCGTTTTGGATTTCCTGCAAATATTTCTAGTTCACTACTAATTTCATCTTCGTCTGTAGTTATGTAACTATTATTGCTAGGTTCATTAATGTAATCATTATTATTTCGAATATTTGTTGGATCAAATGTTGGGTTGGACTGCTTTGTTTTATGTTTTACCGTCAGATTAGGGGTTTTGCTGTCGCCGTTTTGATTTGTGGTAAAAAATTTATTTTTCTCTATATTATTAACAAATTTTTCTACATTTTTCGCAGCTTTTACATCCTTGTCACTAAGGTAAACATCCTTACTATTAAATAATTGAAACAATTCGCGATTACCACTCTTTTTAATTGTTTTTTTGCTATTATAATTTGGACAAATTCTATCTGGATTTTGAATTAATTGCGGAATATTTTTGAAGTTGTCAGTTTTTTCCATCGGAATCTTTTCTTTATTCAATAGTTTCATTTTTAAAAATGGATCAACATAATAATCATCATCACTATTAGAATAATTGGAATCTAATGCAGCCATGTTCTTTGGAATGAAATTATTTTTTAAATTTTTATCTTTGTTCTTATCAAAATCTCTACTACAAATAGTTCTGGGTGCTAATGGTGCTGTTGCTTTTGTTTGTTTTATTGGATTTGAAGTTTCTTTTCTCTTTTCATAATTTTCAATTTTTTCATTTTTTGATTTTAATGGCATATTATGAACGTTATATGTATTAAGTAATAATTGATGTTGCTGACGTATATGCTGTTTTTGTTTCATTTTCAGTTCTTCCAAATAAGGGACTGCATTAGTTATTTTCGATGCACTTGTATATTGTATTGGTTGCCGATTGCGACGTGCTTCTTCGTATTCTTCATTACCAATTAAATTGGTATTCGAAAACAAAGAAACATCCAATTGGTCTTTCTGTTCTTTTTCATATTTCAGTTTTTGTTGTTGTCTTTTATAATAATCGTAATATTCAATATCCTGTTGGGACATAAATCCATTCGGATTTAATAGATGGCGTTGTTGATGTGGACGATTCTGTTGACGATTTAAATAATTTTGTTTATGACGTTTATTATGTGCTAATGGATTATTGAAATTTTTATCATTATATGGCATTACGATAGCTTGTTGCTTATGACGTTCACCTTTATCTTGCTTTTTATTTTCCTTTTGTTTAGCCACAAAAAGTTCTTGTTTCCTTAATTCATTTGTTAATTCAAGTGAATATTTTCCAATTGTTGAATTCAGATCAGGTGGTTTGGGTTTCGTTATTGTTATAGGTGGTGTTTTCAAAATTTTATTCTTATTTGTTTTTGAATCATAACGAATATTATTGCTAACAGTTTGATTATTCTTTGTAGATGTGACCTTTATTGGTTTTTCCTTTGCACTGGGATTGTTTTTAGTTGGAAGGGTTTGTGTTGCATTTACTGAACATGTTCGATTCATATGTTCAAATTTTAAAATTTTATTTAAAATGTTATTTTCATTTAACTCCGAAGAACGTTTCCTTTCAGTTGTTGGTGTAACAGTAATCAAAACATTTTCATTACAATCGTTTACTATTGCCTTAGCGTTTAAAGTTTTAAAGTTTTTGGTTTCGTGATCAGAAACCAAAAATTGCTTTTTATTTTCATTGAATACATCCTTTTGTTTTTGCTTTTGTTCTTCTTCAGGTTCATTAAGAGTAACATCATCGTTTGTAGATAATCCTTGTGAGATAATTTCATTATTATTCAATTTATCTTCACTTAATTCAGTTTCTATATCTTTTTTATTATTGCAATTTGAATCTAAGAATTCCTGTTGTACGTTATTGGTTTGTTCTGAAAATTCTAGTATTGCATTATCATCCAAATTGTTAATGTTATTGTTATTATTACTATTATTGCTATCACTATTATTATTTTGGTTAGTATTGTCTACAATAGAATTAGTGGTTGAATCGTTATTTTGTTGCAGTTGTTCTTGTTCTTTTTCAATAATTTCAACTTCATTTTCAGAAATTTTAGGGTTTTCATTATTCTATAATAATTTCAATTTTGCGCATTGTTATATTGTTGGTATGTTTTGTGAATTTGTGTGAATGTGTTCATTTGCAATTAAGAAGAAAATTTTAAATTTCAATTATATTTGGTTTTTGAATATTTTGTATTTAGTCATTAAGAGTGTATATATTTGCGTGTATATATTTGGTAAATGTTCGAATTATATTTTGTTTGTGTTATAAGAAAAGATTAGAAAATTTTTGTTAATTAATTTTGTGTTCAATTTATGTGGTGCATAACATATTATAATAAGAGGAAAATTAAATTGTTTTTTGATATAAATTTTAAACTTACCGTACTGATTGGCGATGAGGTTGAAGAATTCAATTCATTTTGCTTAGGATATTCTGAACGTTCTGAATGCAATGTATAACGACCAGTATTCTGAAAATAGTAAAAATATAGTTGAATTTTATTTGTTCAAATTCAAAAAATTTAGATTTTTAAGCATTTCAATGTATTTAATAATAAATGTTTCCAGACTATGCAAATTATTTACATAGTTATAAAATTAATTTAGAATCAATGGTATTTCCTATGAATCTTTGTATTTATGGTACTTAGATATTTTTTGAATTGTTATTGTATTTTTTAAAAGATGTTTTTTTCTCAAACAAGGTTTATAGAATAATTCAATTCAATTTTCAAAACCACCAGTAATAGTATTATCATAATGTTTTTTGAATTTGTACCCGATTTTGTACCCAGACAATTTATATTTTAAATCACATAATTTTTTCAAATGATAGCACACTGATAATTATTTTAAATTGAAAACCATTTTCATTCGCCGTTAAACTTTCCATATTTTCCAAATCAAATCAATTGATCAATATTGAATTGTTTATTTTATTAAAAATGCAACACTCTCATGGATGGAATAAGTATTAATCTTATTTTTGTTTTTAAAAATATCCCAAAAATATATTTTATCTCAATAAATACGTTAAAATGTTGTATAGCCGTGCATCGCCAATTTATAAGTTTCCAGATTCAAATTAATATTACAAAAGAAAAATACTCAACAAATCTACAAATTTTGTAAATATCAAAGCGTCTTAAAATTATAAAAATTTCTTCACTTTAATTCGAAAATTAATTTAAATTCCTTGTGCTGGTTCATGTAATTACAAAACAACATAAAAAAAAGAAATTCCAATTTAAAAATCCTATTTAGAAAATGTCAATATTTTAATTATTGATATTATATCCGTTCTTCTCCTCACATTTTTTATGTACATAAAAGAAGCAACAATATAATGTTGTTAAACAACTTAAAATAAACTAAAACCATACACATATAAAACAGCATCGAGTCGTAAGTAAAATTTTGTATATGTTTCATTTATTTAAATGGTACTTGAATTGGCTTTTCTTGAAAGAGGGTGTATAAGAGTATAGAGACGGACTGAATTTTTTTTAATAAAATTTTCCTCGTAATTATTTATTATCCTGTAAATGTTTTAAATTACTTTTTAGGAAAACCGTTACCGATGAACGAAGTTTTTTCGTTAACATGTACAACAAATTTTATCTTAACAGTTTATTATCCTTGTTAGGATCATTTCTTCCTTTATTTTTTTTATTTCTAGATTATTTTTCTCACTTAAACAAAGTTAGTTCTTTTTTCCTCTTATTGTAAATTTTCGACACACTCACGTAAAATAAAAACTGTAAACACAAATATAAATTTGTGTGTGTAAAATTAGCGTATTTAATAATATCAAAGAGATAGTAGTGGTGATGGTGGTAATCTTCCAGATAATAAAGAAGGAAATATTAAATGTTATTACCGTTAACTACAAACTTCTTTATTCTTAAAGAAAATTGTAACCTCATTTTTGCTTTTTATAAACTATGTACGGACAATGACATGGGTATGAGGAGGGTTATGTGAAAAAAAGAATGAGAAGAATAAGATTTTCCCGCTTAAATATTTTTTAAGAAATTGTTGAAAGTTTGTTGTTATTCCACCAGCACCATGAAAATAAGAATTGTTCAAGATATGTATGTATATAAAAAGTAACAAAATATATTGTAAAAATTTTTAGCTGATAAAAGGTCATTAAGTCACTACCAAAAATTAAAATCCACCTTATGTACATTTTATATTATTCATTTTATATGTACATATATACATAAATATAATATTCACGGTAAAGAACAATATTACTGTATTATAATATTTACTTTCTTATATAATATCGTTTTAATGATTGACCGACCTTTCGGTTTACAATTTTTTTTCTCCTTTATCTCACCAGCAACTACCCAAGGTAGCAGTATTCAAGTAATTTTTGTACCTTTTCATCCAGAACATTATCTTTCCTTCCGTCCTTTTTTTATTCAAATGCGTACGTACACACAAGAAGAAAAAAGCTATTTTCATTATAATATTAAAATTTGGAGTTTTTCTTCCTTTTAAAATTCGTTTAAAGATAAAACAAGTATAAGGATATTTTTACTTAATTTTTTAATATTTGTATATTAAATAGCTTCAGTACAATTTTTATAGTTGAAAAATTCGTATATATATGTATACACATATAATATGGAAATTTCCATTTAAAACCAATTTTCATCACCTATTTCACCTTTTCGTTTTTGTTTTGTTTTCTTTTTTTTTTTAGAACATTACCGTTATAAAAATATTCTAACAATATTTTTCCCGTTAATTTTAATATAACACTACTACTATCTACATAATCACACAATTATTTCTTTAATAAACTCTGACTAGCTATGTGCATATTTTTAAATTGTTGAATATTTAAAAAAAAAATGAAACAAAAAAATTTAGGGACAATATGCCGAAAAATATATAAAAATCACCCGTTAGGGAAATTTCCTTTTGTACTTTTTAGTTTCGGAAATGATTATGTTAACCGTAATTGTATGTGTGTAGATATAGATATTACTTACAACAAAATGATTTTTATTACAATATGTGTTCTAAAAGCATATAAAATAAGTGACTGGGTTCAATGATTTGATATTTTACAATCGGGATGAAATTGAATTTGATTTTATTCAGAACTCATATTTAATACAGTAAAAGTTTATTATAACCTTTGCCAATACTGAAAGTCACCGGCTCTTTGCGCTCTCAAATGATTTCTTCGTAAATGTTTTCTTCTTGGTTTTACATACGTCGTGATAATGCTCGTACATCCCCTATATAATATGTAGTGGATTATAAAAATTTAAATAATCAATATTATTAACTACAGTGTAAGTATTAACCTATAGTTCAGTTGGTAGCTTGTTAAGGTGTGATATAACCAATATAAATGATATGGCTACTTTGTGTCAAGGAGAATCTTTTATACTCATTTATTCAAGATAATAAAATAGATATGTAAATATAACACAAAAAAAACAAAAAAACTGTACATAAGTAGAAAAGCAAAATAAAATTGGTTCAACCCATTGCTTTTAAAAATAGCACTTTTCCTTTAAACAAGTAAAAGTGCTGTTCCTTTGAACAAGTAAAAAACCATCTACGTCATTATTTAAATTACTTATATCCTTAAATACTAACAAATATAAAATTATAATATATATTAAGGATGAGCAAAAAAAATTGCAAGAAGAAAGAGTATAATGTTTGAATTCGACGGCTTAGTGAATGAATTAAAATAAATAATTATTTATTTTGATGAAATGGCATTCACCGTTACCTTTTTGATTCTGAACAAGTTCGGAAAAGCTTACAATTTCGGAATTATTAGGCCCTGAAAAATCAAATTCCACATATTTCGAGAGGGAATAACTTGAGAGGAGATGAAGATGAAAAAAACTTTTCTTTCAAAATAAATTATTTATTAGTATTTAAAAATTACTAATTTTTATACCTTTAAAACTTATTGTTTGGAAGAAAATAGGATATCAAGAAATTGAAAAAAGTGGACTTTCGATAACAGCTAATTTTAAAGGCTACCTTTTGCTTTTAATGTTCAACTTTTCGGGGCTGCAGAAGAAGTGTACCGCTTTCTTTCTGCGCTTCCGGAATTTTAAAAAAATTGCGGTTTTGTTAGAATAGTAAAAAAATAGTATATTTTAATTTTTGTGAAGCTACAGCTTTATAAAACAGGAGAGATAGGTACAATTTTTTGTTCCACAGAAATGCCAGAATGAGTTTGCATATAGAATTTCAGCTTTTAATTTAAGAAGTTTTGTAAACTGATGCACAGACAGAAAGAGAAACAAACGGACCGATACAGTAAAGTTAATGAGCTCATTTTATCTTTTTTGTTTTTGAAAGGAACTAAAAGCAAAAGATTGTCTTATGTTTTATATTCCGAGATAATATTATGTAGCTACAAATTATTAAATAACGTTATGAGGACAAAATACATGATAAAATATCCTAATATCCTTATTTATTTATATCTTTGATATAGATATGTGCACCTGCAGCTAAAGTCAGGAACTGATGGAAGTATATATTCGTTTTAATTCTCTTGAAGGAAATAAATAGGAAATTTGAAAAGACAAGTGTAAAAAAAATTGCAAAAAAAAAAAAAAAACAAAAAATAAAATTACTTAAAACTCAAACTTTCTTATATTTTCAGGAATTTATATTTCATAAAAGAAATTAATCGAAAATTTTTATTATGCTTGAAAAATAAAAAAAAAGGAGAAAAGGAATATTTTTTAATGACAAAGCAAAAACAAAAATAACTTTTTTTTGTGTTAATTATAGCAAGTGTTAGAAGTATACTAGAAGTTTTACTCATTCTACTAAACCTTGGTCCTTAATTTGATTTTTTTATTTTTGTTTCGGAAGGACTTTTTAGGGTAGAGTAAATTTCTCTGTCCATTTCTTAAAATAAAAATACGATGGCAGTACCAAAGAATTAAACAAGGTGTAATGAAATGTCTTCAATTATAATCAAATAAAATGTCCTTTCCTTTTCTCTAAGAAAAAGCACTTTTAAAAACTAAGGAGGACCAGTAATTTGTATTTTAATTGGATTGGGAATTGAAATTTTAGGCATGGTAGGGACATATAATTTTCTTTTTTTTAAAATGGCTTTTAAAATCAAATTATCAAGTTATTTCAGTTTTATTTGAACTTTTTCCTTCTATATTAAAACTATTTTTGTTCTCTTTTAGAAAGTTAAATACAATATAAGAAAAAAAGTAAGACATAGCAAACTTATGTTTAATTACGTATAAAAATTGAATTGTCAATGAGATTCCAAACCGATTTGAGCTTTTTTCAAACCAATGGGTTCTATTAATAGATATTTTTTTTTTATTCTGATTCACACTTATACCGTTAGGTATATGACAAACTTCGCTCCATAAGCAGAAAAATTAACTAATACAATTATGAATAAACTAAACAAATGTTTTAAGTTATTAAAATTCGAGAAGGT